CATGCAGCCTCAAAAAAACTTTTTTAGGCGCTGAAATTATTATAACCTTTTATAAATTATTAATAATTAAAGGCATATTTTAATAAATATTAATATATTTAAACAGTGCCAATGAAGAGACTATTGGGAATGAAGTTATAGATGCATATTTTTTTTTAAGCTACCAAGTCTTGTGGATTTTAAGCTGACTATAGATGGATTAAATCTCAGCCAGTTCAGTAAGGACTGGCCGAGATTCAATCCATATATAGGCATCTTGGTTGTACTGAAGTCGATCCATCGATCAACCTCAGTACAACCAGCCTATTGGATATTTTGCATGTGATTACTGGAGACAGCTGTAGCAGCCAGCAGTAATCATTGCATTCTACTGACAAGGAAGACTCCCCACCAACAGAATATAATAGCACTGTGGGATGGATTCAGTCAGTGTTGATGGGGGAATCAAGCAATTTTCTTTCCTGCAATCTTTGGTTGCAGGAAAGAAAATTGCATCACCTATGGCTTACCTTATTGGCAATCTCTGTACTTCTTCATATTCAATATCATATTCCACGTTAGAAATGTGTTTATTTGAGAAAAATATCCATTGTGCTGCTATGATCAAAAATGAATATCAATTTGACCCCATTAGAAAATTAAACAAAGCTTCCAAAAACAAACAAATTCTAACACAGTTCTACTTGTATATGGCCTAGATTTATTGATTGTCTCTTCTGAGTTCAATAGGCATAAGTTTTTGTTGACCATTCTTGATTAAAACATTTGGATACTGTGACCATCTCTCTATGTCAATGGGCAACCTAAACTGTCTAACTATCATCTAGGTGTTTTGTTATGAACATCTCCTTTAATTCAACACAAAACCAAGTATAAATAAACATTCAGCTAATTACACCCAAAAAACACACATTTTGAAAGACTGGTCACAAATCTAATGCAAACATTAGATTCTTTACAAAGGGTATGGATGATCTTTGAGTAAGATAATTCTATGTTGATTTTCAGCACAGCTGAATTTGTAAATCTAAGCATTCTTCATCCTATTAGGGAACAATTGATGTTTTCTTCTACCCAGATGTAGGTATCTGTGTGTGACAGATGGTATGGCAGCTCTGACATGAGACACAAAAGACAGTTAAAGGGTGTTTATCTGTGTACTTCAGGGAGTGTTAGATTATACATCAAAAGGCTTATTTCAGGAATTACTAAAGGAATATGAATGACGTTATATGGCAAGGCATTTAAGACAGTAGTAATGATATGATTGATTTGTGTGGTCTTGTTACTGATATTCAAGTTAATATAATATCTGTATCTACACAAAAGGTCAATTAACATAAATTCATATTCATTAAGATTTTTTTTAATGAGCAAACCGTGGAGCCCAGACATGGTGTGGTGTCCTTATGGCAAAGAGGACTAGACAGACAAGGCGTAATGCTGGAACTGCTTGGTCAGCACACCTGCTGAATATCTTAAATATAATCATATAGGCCGATAAACAATGCAATCATACCGTAAATAAATGTTGCCATAACAGAACCATATCTAAAATTCAATATCTCATTGTTAGGTAAGTGTTACCAGATGTTGTCAATGTTTGACTGTTGCTAGGATTATATAAAAGGACATTAGAGTTGTTACAGTGTAGGTCTAAAGTAATTATTGTCTCATTCCTCAACAATGCACAACAGAAAAAAAAAAAATAAAATAGCACAAACAAAAAATATTGTCAAATAATGTCAAATAACATTTTGACATGTAGTTACAACTTTGAAGCCCAGACCAAGGGTGCTAGACTTTCCAATTTCCATTGTCTTATCACAAAATCCATCTTACACTGCCCTGCAAGGGTAAAAACAAGAAGAGAAAAATACACGTTTTTTAAAGTATAACTGAGGGCAAAGCTTATTTTTTTCATTTTGGAAAATGTGAGGGAGGATTATAAATCCTGTCAGTTTTTTTTGCCACGTGTCCTGCCGGGGAGATTTCCCTTCACTTCTTATCTTATAGCCAAAACAGGAATTGAGAGGAAATCCTTTCAGTGAAGAATCCCTAGTTGTCACCAGAAGTAGTGTTCCCATGGTACGATTTCCCTTTTTGTTCCTGTTCTGGTGACCACTCAAAAGTTTGGCTTTTTTTCACTTTGACTTTCGTTGACTATGGTCACCAGGACCAACAGAGTGAGGAAACTCTACCTTAATACTAGATGTATAAAACATTGGTGACAACATCTATGCCAACACTGAAAGGATGATACCAGTGACCTGAGGACACACAAAAGTGAAAGCTTTCCCTGGTCACATGTCATTTTACTTATCAAAGAGGGGTGGAGGACTTTACACAATGTCAGGGTCATACACCAAGATACATCTCATCATTTCAGGAAACAAGACATTCATTGTTTTCCACATAAGGTGACAAGTTGGAATAAAAATGAACCAATATTAAGCTTGTGCTTGCTCAATAGAATATAAGAATAGCAGCAGTGTCTTAAAAAATGTTCCTAATGTACAGGAAATTGCCTCCAGGCTTAAATAACTTAAATATATATCCAAAGTTCCTAAAAGCAAGAGTAGACCACCAGTAAGCAAGGTTTCCTCAAAAGGTAGCTACATTTCAACACATCAACGGTTATTTTTAAATGGTATGTATAGTTCATTATTTGATATTATGTTAAGGATCTGTGTCTTCATTTTGTTAGACAAGTAAATAAAAAACATAGCATATCAACAATTTGTATTACCATTTCCAGCCAATTATTGAAACTGTAGGCACTTTTTCTTAAGTTTACTAGGCTACTGTTAACATAAAGACTCAATCCCCTTATGAGCACCTCTGGCCTCTAATAACTGTGCCAGTAGCAGCTCGAACTACGCCTTCTGAGAAATGGCCCTTCTAGCTATGTTATGTCTTTTAAACACAATCTGTATGCTTGATGGTTTTACTTCTTTTGTATTGCAAACTTTATTAAAATAAAGACTTAGAAATAAAAGAAAGACGTATTGCCCTCCCTTCTGTTTATGCTTTGCGTGGTTTTATACAGACTTTCAATTAGAGAGGGACAAACTGAAAGCAAACAAGCTAATGCTGTGCTTTATAGACACCATATAATACCCTGTAGATTTTATAGCTGAATCACTTTTCATTGTGGAAAATATAGGAAATACATAAAATAAAGAGTCAAAGCGCCACATCAGTACAAAATGTATTAATTCACAATGTAGACCAGTGGTCTCCAAACTGTGGCCCCTTGCTTGCTTTTACCTGGCCCTTGGTGCAATATTTCATCCACTGATACAAACAAGAGGGCATTATTCCCCCTGCTGACATCAACAAAGAAGGACAATTCCTCTCACTGACACAAAAGATAGGGAACTATTCCTCCCAAGGACACCAACAATGGGGAATGATTCTTCCCAAAGACACCAATGATGGGGCACAATTCCTCTAACTGACACCAAAGATGGGGCATTATTTACTCCCACTGATGCCAGGACATTTTCTACTCCCAATGGCCACAGTCCGGCCCTCCTAAAGTCTAAAGGACATAAACTGGCCCTTTGTTTAGAAAGTTTGGAGACCCCTGATGTAGACTATGAGACATGAAAAAAATTAAATTCAGGAGGCAGGGGCCCTGTATAGTGAAGCAGAAAGGTGTCAGGTCTGAGGGGTTCCAACATATATAGGGAGTCTTGTTAAAATGACCAAAGTGTTAGGTGTGTTGCTTTGGCAGCAACTTGGCTCTGCCATTGTGTTGATAGGTAAAGGTAGGGTGTGGAAAATACAAATTCTATATAAATACAAAAGAAATAAAAAATATTGTCATAAGAAATTAAAAATTTAACATTTCTAAATAGTAACCAATGTTACATAATATGTTACATAATATGTGAGTAGCATACTTGCTAGTTCCCCCTAACTAACCATTCACAGTTTTTGAGCTAATCCTCACAGATTGGTGGTTGGTCCTAATTTTTCTTTTTACCATTGCTGGAATCTCTTAGTCTGACCTCCTGGTCTGTTGTCCATCAATATTAGCAAGAGACAGCTACAGCAGAAAAAGCCAGTGATGGACCCGCTGGAGCTGCAGCCTCAGCCTATGTGCTCTGTAAAGCTGGCCTGTTGAGAAGCAATTGGTGACCACCAGTCCATTTTCCACTTAAAAAAAACAGTACCCATGTTTAATAACCAGAAAAGGAGACAACAATATAAATATAACCCTTGAATATTTCAGGGGTGTTTGAAGAGCAGCAATAGGATGTGGCGCTACAATCAGTACAGCTAAGCTCCCTCAGTGTGTTTCACAGGCACTTCCAATATTATATTCTTTTAAGGGTACACTACACTCTGTAATAAATACAAGAGGAATCAAAGAGATCTCATTCACCACTTTGGTGGTGCCCCAAATTGCATCAATACTGGGAGTCAGTGTTAGGCACTTTCTTAAAACTGTTTTTTTTAAACCACCGTTAAGTTAGACCTGAAACCTTGTATATTGGGAATTCCTGATGATATCAGATTGAGGCATTACCAAAAGCGTTATTTCAGGTTTGTAAATTGCTTCCTCAGTGATGGAAGCTGGGGACTGCCCCAACTAGAAAGGAGTGGATAAGTGCTGCAGGGAACACTTTACACTATGAAAAATTAATATACCTCCACCGTAGATGTCCAGCAAAGTTTGAAAAATTGTGGGAACCCTGGTTGGCTTGCCCAGATCTGGCTCCACTGGATTTAGTGTTACATAGATTATTTTAAGCCTATAAATTGCTCATGTGTGGTACATACTTCCCCAGAAGTTGGGTTTGAAACCGTCTCTTGAGCTGAAAATTACAGAGGCTTATTCCTATATGTACATTTAACCACTTCAAGTCTGGACACTTTCACCCCCTTCCACATCAGGCCAATTTTCAGCACCGGTATGCCAGTGATCAGGACGCAGGTATGGCGGTGATCAGAACGCTGGTATGGGGTATGCCGGTGATCAGGCTGCTGGTATTGGGTATGGCGGTGATAAGGATGCTGGTTTGGGGTATGGCAGTGATCAGAATGCTGGTATGAGGTATGGCGGTGATCAGGGTGCTGGTATGGGATATGGCAGTGATCAGGGTGCTGGTATGGGGTATGGCGGTGATCAGGATGCTGGTATGGGGTATGGCAGTGATCAGGGCACTGTTATAGTGTATAGCGATGATAAGGGTGCTGGTTTGGCAGTTGGTGGTGATCAGGGTGTTGGTATGGGGTATGGCAGTGATCAGGGCATTGGTTTGGTGGAGATCAGAACATTGGTGTGGGGTATGGTGGTGATCAGTACATTGGTATGGTGTATGGGTGTATTTCTGTGCTGGGACAGGTGACAGGGGCTGGCTGTATTATTTATTATGGATATGATCAGGGACACGGGGGCACTAAACTGGGACACGGGGTAGCTGGCACTGCAGTTTGTGAGTGTACATGCAGCCTGCACGATCCTTTCTCTCTGCTCTCAAGCGATCTTTAATTTTTACTTTACAGTGTTTACAATGTGACTGCTGTGATTGGTCACAGCAGTCACATGGTAAAACACCATGTAATCACCTGGACACAGCGGTACTGTGATCCACTGTGTCTGGGCGGTTTTATAGCGATCGTTGGGCTCCTGGGTGCATGCTCTGTAAGACGCGCAGGTGCCGCTGATGCGGCCTGACGTACAAGTATGTTAGCCCGCATCGGCAAAGCTTCCCATCCGCCATCTATATGCAATGAGCGGATGGGAAAAGTTAACATGTTTATGTATGTTAATCACCTGTAAAAGCCTTTTTTGTGTAAAAATCCAAAAACCCTGAGACTGCCACTGGGTGCTACCATCTTGGATGTGATGTCATCAGCCTCAGAGTTGTCACGTATGTATTCTCCTTTGCTCACTCCTCCCAGCAGCTACATAGAAGGTTATGTAGAGAGGTGAGTGGAGGGGCAGAGGATCTGAGGCAGCAGAGTAAATAGACTGCCTCCCAGAAGAAGAGAGGGCTAAGATGTTCAGGGAGGGAGCTTTGCTAGAGGATCAACTCTCCTGAAGCAGTCACATTTTCAGGAAAATTCAAAAGCACATATCAATGAATACAAAAGCATGCATGGAAAGGAAAAACACTGAAATGTAAGCATTTAAAACTACTTGATTTCTGTACTTTTAACTGTGTGACAGGGATTCTTTAGGATAGCAGCAGAGAGAAGTTTAGAAGCAGAGATTTTTGCACCTTCTAGAATGGGTCATGTTCAGGGGTGGACTGACCATTTGGAATCTCAGGCACCGCCCGAGGACCCGGGGTCAGTAGGGGGCCCCATGAGATGCCCCTGGTACCTTTTTCATAGGCTTTTTTGAGTTTGAGCAAGGACACAGGAGCCCCATGATCCCTTATTGCTCAGGGGCCCATGAGTTGTCAGTCCGCCCCTGGTCATGTTGCAATGTCTGGTGTGTGAGAGCACACTGTAAATACTTCGAAGCAATTTGCTTCCTCTTACAGGAAAGAACATTTTAGCAGGCAGCATGACTGAAAGCACGCCTGAAGGTTGCTATGGAAAAACTATAGAATTAAAATGAGCCGCATACTCAGAATTTTTGTGCCTGTCATAAAAAAATGTACATTGTGCTGCAGAAGAAACGGCTTCCATCTCAAAATCCTCATAAAATCTTTCAAAGCTGATCTGCGGGCAAATACTATATTCTTAGGGTGTCAATTATGAGCCTCATATAACTGTCCTCCTACCTTACTATTTAAGCTATAGCAAGCCTTGATGTGCACAGTCCTGCTTATTGAAGCTGAAGTTTAGAGATTTTTTTTACAGTGCCAAAAACAGTACTTACCATGAAGGAAGAGTGTCACATGTGGTGAAGGCTGTTGTGTTAGGTTAAAATTAGTGGTGCACCGAAATGAAAATTTCTGGTGCCGAAACCAAAAACGAAAATTCAAAATGCACTTGGCCGAAAACCGAAACCGAAATGCGCAGTTTTTTAAAAATGAATGTATATTTTTGGAGAAAAAATACACTTTGATTAAAAAAAAAATATATACCCCAGTTTTTTTGTAAAATATGAAAGAGGATGTTATGGCGAGTAAATAGATACCCAACATGTCACGCTTTAAAATTGCGCACGCTCGTGGAATGGAATGGCGAGAAACTACAGTACTTAAAAATCTCCATGGGTGATGCTTTAAAAATGTTTACAGGTTAGCAGTGTAAAGTAACAGAGGAGGTCTAATGCGAGAATTATTGCTCTTGCGCTAACGTTCGTGGTGATACCTCATGTGTGTGGTTTGAACACCATTTATATATGTGGGCCTGGCCTACGTATGCGTTCACCACTACAGTATGTGCAAGCACGGGGGGATGGGGGGCACTTTAAACTTTTTTTTTTAATTTAATTTTTTTTTATCACAAGAAATGCATGCATCCATTGTGATAGAAATAATTAGTGACAGGCCCTCTTTATGGAGAGATATGAGGTCAATAAGACCCCACATCTCTCCTCTGCAATGTAAAGCGTTTGATCAAAAAAAAATGCATTGATCTAGTGCTTTAAAAAAAAAAAAAATGGCCGGATCGGGAGTGACAAAGCTCCTGTCCTGCAAAGGCATAGAGATGAGTGGGGGACATCTTTCCTTCACTCATCTCTATGCCCAGCGCTGGGATCGTTCTATGGTTTCTCAGGTAAGGCTGAGAACTACCGAGTGGCGGCGAGGGGCGGGGTTTTTTCGGCACCTGTATCGGTGCTTTTTTTCATTTCTGCCAATGGCCAAAAGGGGTGTTTTCGGCCGAAACATTTTGGCCACCGGAATTTCAGTGCACCCCTAGTTGAAATCTTCATTCCTTTGCTCCTACATACCTCCTCAGCTGTGATCTTCCAGTGCTGCAGGGGTAATATGAGTGGCCACAGCTTTGACATGCAATCGTCAAAAGTGCCTACCATGCCCACCCTTTACAACCTCATGCTCCATTCACAGAAGCCCTACTATTGGTTCCCACAATGAAAAGTGCTCTATGAATGAAGGTGGTGGACTTTTCATTCATTCATACGTCCTCCATACATAGAGCACTTTTCAATGTGGTAAATAATCCTTTCACACGGGTGGTTAGATTTCAGCTTTTAGCTGCAGTTAGAGGAACTTACTGCAGCTAAATGCAGACAGTGCATCCTTATGGCTCCATTCACACAATGCGTTTAGCAATGTTTTCACAACATACAGTTTTATGCGTTTAGAAAAAAAAAAAGTTGACAGCGTCCAGGAGCGATCTACTGCAGCTATCTGTACATAAACGCAGTTAATCGCAGTACAAAGAAAAAATAAGTAACCAGTTGCTATAGAAAAGGCAATAATTTACTACCGCAGCTAAAATGCAGCCACATGTAAACACACGTAATAGCAGATAAATGCAATGTACAAACACAAGTTATCTCTGTGCCAAGAGTGTTTGAATTTCAAAATGATGAAAAATGCATTTACAAGTGGCAGAACAACCGCACGTGTGAAAGAGGCCTACGTCTTCCTTATACAAAGAGAGGAAGCCCTTTGTAATTTCAAAACTACGACATGGAGCTTACACAGGGCTAAAGACCCTCTCTTAAGCCCAACATGACACATTGGGTGCCCGAGCAACCAATAACTATAAAGCAGCGATGTCATATAGAAGGAAGAGGAGTGAGCCACATGCTTCCCCATACCCAGAGGCATGGAGATCTGGGGTCCATTGCAGTAAAGTAAACCCGTTGCTTTGTCCTGCATGCCCATGCCTTTAAAGTGGTTCTAAAGGCAGAATGATTTTTTTTTAGCTTAATGCATTCTCTACATTAAGGTAAAAAACCTTCTACATGCAACTCCCCCCTAGCCCCCTCACCTGAGCTCAATCTCGATCCAGTGATGTGCACGAGAGCAGCAGCTCTCTCTCCTTATTGGACAGAGAGGCAGCAGTGGGAGGCATTGGCTCCTGCTGCTGTCAATCACAGCAAGTGAGAAGAGGGAAGGGAGTGGGGCAGAGCTGACACTGTGGGGTTTATGTACTAAAGCTGGAGAGTGCAAAATCAGACTCACTTCTGCATAGAAACCAATCAGCTTCCAGGTTTCATTGCCAAAGCTTCATTGAACAAGCTGAGGTTAGAAGCTGATTGGTTTCTATGCAGAAGGGAGTCTGATTTTGGACTCTCCAGCTTTAGTAAATAAACCCCTGTGTGTCCATGGACACACAGAGCTGGCTCAGGAACGAGCATGCACGAGTGTCCTCATAGCAAGCTGCTTGCTATAGGAACATTCAGCAGGGTGGCAAAACCATTGCAAAGAGCAGCTAAGTGCGATATGCTTGTTATTTAAAAAAATAAAACGTATGCCTTTGCAATCATTTCAAAACAGTAAAATTCTGACTGCAAATGTGTTCAGCTTTTTAACGAAGCTGCAGGTTAGCAGCCTTCCATCACCTAGCTAAGGTTCTGTATGTGTTGATACTTTCACAATTACTCATGTGTGGTATGCTTGTGGCAATTTATAATGTGCTTACTATACGCCAGAGTTGACAAGTACATTTGCACATTTTTTTAGATCTCATTTCAGTACAGTCCTTAAAGGCAAGCACAATTCAAATGTCAAAATTTGCAAAAATAAAAATATATAAACAGTGTGCAAATACGTGTGCTGGGTGTTTATGCTAGCACCCCCGAGCACACAAAGTCATCTGGCTGTACAAATACCACTGCTAATGTGCTGTTCTAGAAACCCCCTATCCTAAGCCAGTGATTTTCCAACTCGGCTCATCAAAGAATCTCTTTACTGTAATTATGAACAATCTTGATCATTTAGAAAGAAAGCATTAACTTCCTTTCTTCATCCCTAAGGGAAGCCACAGAGAGACACACAGATCAGTGCAAGTAAGGCTACACTGCACAAAATGAATGTAAAAAACCTGCAGCCCCAGCTTTGCAAAGAGAATTTTCTTAGTGAATTAGGTAAAGCAGAGAGAAAATTCATTTTGCAAAGAATACTCAATTATGTGCATGGAAAATAAAAAAACAGAATTTTTCCTTGTTCCTAATTGGATGACTGACATTGCCACTGCTTCATCTCATTCACTAAGCTAAACAAATTTTTTCTTTACAGAGAAATGTTTAACTTATTGAATTAGGTGACTTATATAGTCATGTACAAGTGAAAATAAGTATTTTTAAACATTTTCCTTGCACATTGGTTAATATATGTAAAAATAAATTTTCACTTTGTTTCACCTCATTCACACTGAAATTGAACATTCTTTACTCCTTTAGTAAATCAGGGTCAGTTGTACTAGGCTGCATAAAAGATCA